AATATGAGATTCAAAATCACAACTGGGGTCGCAGACTAGCCTATCTCACGAACGAAATCTCATCGAAGTCAAAGGTCAAAAGGGGTTATCAAATTAATCGTGCAAATAATAAAAATAAATTTATGCGATGATGGATTTGGAGAACTTTCTCATATTTCAAAAATATAGATTCCCGTTTTAAGTAACTGCTTAGACATTTACGTTTACGTTATAAGTATACTTTTCAAATCTGTTAGTGATGACACCACAATACTAGTGCTTATTTTCCATACTATCCACTGTTTTAAGAGTATTCAGGATAATAATGTTAAATGATGAAATGTTTAAAAAATCCGAAAAAATTTCAATTGTCAAAATTATTAGCTTTGTCACAATCTAATAAACATTCTTTCTTTCTTCACAAACTCCATAAATCTGAACTAAATTATACTTTGAAAACTGACAATTAGAAATGAACTTAAGAGCAATGCTAATATTTTAAATCTGATTAAGACTAAATGCGATGTTTTTTTAATCACCCCTACTGGGCCCACCGAACTTTGATAACGAAAACGTATTGTGCAAAAAAAGGATCGTTTCTAAAAAATATCTCGCAGATACGTAAACCATTAACTTTTTTCTTCAAAATAGAACCTTTTTACGATATAACGGGACCGGGCAAATTATTGCGTGTAATCTTTTGATTTTTGTTTTCTTTTGTTCTCTAATAAAGAATTCCCACACCTTAAATAATTAACCAATGGCGTTACTGAAGCCTGATAATTAAGGATGCATAATACTATGATATATTGCTTTATTTATCGCTATAAATCCTTGAGTAATTAGGACTAAAAGGACTGATTTATAAGTGACATCCCTATCTATGCAAATTTAGTTTAACTACGCTACTATGCCCACGACTACGTAAGAAGTAAATTTTTTTATTTGTAAGAAATTCAAGCGAAAAACAATCAATTATGAATAGGAAAATACGATTTCTTGTGCCAGACAGAACCTCGATACTTTAAAATATATTTTATATAAAAAACTTGACATAATGTTCTATTGACGAATAATCATAAGGCTTTAGAATTATTAGACATAATAAGCGATGGACCGAATCTTTGTGTGTCCGAATTAACAATGAAATACAATTGAGGTGGCAAAATTTATTTTCGCATAAATTCGTTAATTATAACAGAGACAATTCTAAACATAATCTAATATTAATTCAAGACAATAATTTACCTATAAACGTATGCCTCTCATCAAAATCAGAATCGTTGTCGCATAAATGGGTAATCGACGTAGATATTGTCATATTTTTAATAGCATTAAAATTTAAACGTATAATCGGGATAGGTCGGGAGAGTGATGTCATTAGAAACACGCTCCCACGACAGATACAAAGAATGCACAAGTCACAGCGGCACCTGTGACCCATGTCTTGTCCAACCAAAATATTGCACATAATACGTATAATATAAACTATTGTTACTCTAGTTGGTACACTTTAAATTGCAGTTTCAAATGTTTCATATGCAACTTTGATCAAAATGGGGATATTCAGCTCTATAGCTTTTTCTTTATTCTATTTGGTTTAGTATTTTAATGTTTGTTATTTACACTTGTGTTTATAGCTGTGACGTAATGCATTAAAATCACAGTTTTTACATTCACGTGATAAGCAAAGAAACTTCAGTAAAGTCAATTAGCACAAGTGACTGAGAATCTTGACAGTATAGCACTTTTCCGGCCGCCATGCATCTAGCGGATAATTCTAATCCAACTGGATAAAGATCTATTAAAAGGAATATAGTTGTTATCCGATCACACCTATTCTGATAATATTTCATTTCATGTTATTACTACATACAAAGGCAGGATAATTTTGATAAAATAAAATGATTCAAAGGTATTTTTAAAACAACCCACCAGCCAGGTAAATTTAATAGGCAACAAAATCCAGTTACAACTCTTGTCGCCTAACGCGAATAAACTTTATAAAGAAAGTGGGCAAAGGTTTTATATAAAAACATCGCTTCAAAAGGTCGCCGTGTGTCGCTAGCATTCTTACAAAAAACATCGTGAACCCCACTCATTTGTGTTTTTTTTATTCTCTGATAGTAGTCCGAGGCAGGTAGATGAAATGTCTGATTGTGAACTTTGTATATTTAAAATTTCCATGTTTTGTGTTTTCATTTCATTAAAGTATGAAAGAGTCTAGAATTGAATTTGAAATTTTGCGATCTCTCGTAGCTTTTATAAGATAAAAAAAACTACTGTCATCTTCCTAAGTTCAATAATTTAAAATGACGTATGTAGTAAAAAGATGAAACTTGCAAAGTTTTTTCTTTCTAGTCTAAAAGATCGTGACAAAAACGTACAAGAGTTTTCTAAAGCTTGATGTTTCAATAAACGTATGCCTCTCATCAATCTCATCTGTCGAGTGTTAAGGGTATACATCATTCCCTTAACACTCGACAGATGAGATTGTACCCAATGCAAAAGTCAGGTGTTGGAACACCTCGGAACTGGCTTTCGTAACAACTTCTGAAACGTGCTGAATCCTCTCGTTCCACTAATGTGTTTTCTTACCTTAATAACAATAACTAAGATATTTATTAAAGTTAAGCCACCACAAAACTAGCCATAGGATAAATAAGTTTTTAAATTCATGTAAAAAACATACTTATGAGTAAAGGCTATTATAAAGTTGATGATTATTTTAAAGACCGCTATGCATGGAATTCGTAGCCTTCGCTTTGTTCTATAACGACTAATTATATGTACAAACTATGACCGACTTTGAAAGTTGTGTTTATTATTGTGATAATACATATTATTTTGATAATGACATGATTTTGTAAATGTCATTACTTATGATAAAGAGCTGGGAAATTTCTTTCAATTGTTCTTCTTGTCAGCTAAAAGACGTCCTAAACAAGTGGTAGGGGAAAATTAATTTTGGACGATTCAAAAGTGCATGTAACAACCTTAATTGAATCAAGTTACTTTCATTTCATTTCACCATCTTAGCGATGTTATGATGATATGTCGTTTCAAGTTACTACTTCGACGCGTCTTTTGATGGATAAAGGGATAAATATTAAGTTGGTAGCACTCTTGCACATTTTTGTCACGAGTTCCCCATCTATTCTTATATTAAGGGAGTCTGGGAGACTGAACCCCTTTTTAGTAAAATTATCATATCCTCTGTAAATTTTGAGAGGTGGTTGAACTCCCTCCCTCTGAGCAAGTCTCCCAGACTCATCCTACATAGTCTCTCTTGATAAAATATCTAGTTTCTAAGTCGTGTAGAAGTTAGGCAGCGGCGGATTTAGAAATTTGCCACCACCAAACTATTAAAATGTTAATTTTAGTAAATTTGTTGACATAAAAGTGAAACTTTATAATGTATGTGCTATTATTGTATCTTTATATGTCATTAATTGACATATTGACAAATTCAACATAAAAAATAAACAACCTCGTCTGTTGTTAACCCCGGACGAAAAAGAGGGTGCTCGTATAACGTAGTTACTCCAAATCGGTTCAAGCATCCCACTGCTTATTATCACTGTTATCAGCCTATTAATATCCCCACTGCTGGATTTCAGGCCTACCCCGCGGAAGACTGCAGATGCATAACATTATTACAGCTTCGGAGTAGGCCTGAGTAGGCCAGACGTAGCCGGGTCCAACAACTTGACGTGTCTTCCCAAGCACGGATATATTAATTTTTTGGTCACCCATCCTATGACCGGACATTGCGAATGGTGTTTAAAAATCGAGCACTATAACAACGATATACGAAACACATAATAAATGTGTTAAAAAGTACTTCTCAGATTTATATACGAAAAAATACGCTGTCTGGTATGCTTCTACTAGCAATCCAAGAATAATTTTAAGAAAAACAAAAAACCCGACTGCTTAAAAACGAATTTAAAAAATACATGAAAAAATTAACTTAAATAAAAACTAAAAAGAAAGAAACAAACCCAGTAGTTTAGAATTCTGTTAAGTAATACAGAACAGAACGACTCACAGTCGGGGCCTATTCAAATTTTACCAATCAAATCTTCCCAAGAGGTTTTTACGCAGTCTTAAGTATTGCTTGCTCACTTGCGGCATCTAGCGCCGACTCGAGTAAGACAAAATAGCCCGAAGAATGAGGAAGTATTTAAAGAAAAAGCATTAGTTCCTTAAATCTAACTAGATGTCGCCACGTTACGTTCTTGATTTCTCCATGACAAGCCTTCCGATTTTCTTTCATATATAAAATTAAATTAATTTTCAAAACTTAATAAACATTAATTTCCTGCAAAAATCAACTTTTGCTAGGGTCACCATCTAGTGAGGTTCTTTTTTTTTTCTTAAAATATTTCCTCATTGGACTTCGCTATTCTATGGATTTTCGCATAAACGTCGATAGATGGCGTTGATTCGTAGCACACCAAAAGAACCTTAATATAGATACACATTAAATATAGCCTACCTATAACAGTTTCTTGTGTTTATTACTATTAAATGTAAGTCTATTGTCTTTTACTTTTGTTTTAAATTGTCTTTTGTAAAAAAATTAAACACCAAGAAAAAAAATATTTAAATAAAATAATAATAAAAACGTCGCCGTTTACAACGCCATCTCTGAATAGACATTTAATTATTTAAAGCATACTTTTGCTCTTAAATTGTAATTTTACTAAAACTATATTAAATAACCCTCTATTTCATTTTTTCGAGCTTAGGAATTCTTTGCCTTTAAGTAATTATACTAGTTATTATACTGTATATTCTGGATTTTTCACAAACGTAAAATATTGAATGATATATCTAATTATAAACTGTAATAATAATAAACAAATATTTTTTACTTAGCGATGAGACCCCGTAATATCATTAAATATGTGTGTCATCATAATCGAGTACATAATCTGCTATCTATTGAAAAATGAAAATAACATGACCTCTGTCAAATCGAATGGATGGATCCCATCTCGCTAGATACTATGTGACACTAGCTATAAGTGGTCTGAGTCTGACGTGCTTTGTTTTGATTGAGATAGTTTTTATATAGGTTAAGTATTTGATATTTTGTTCACTTCGATAATAATATTATGTGATATGCAGATCTACATTTAAATATAAAATTCAATTTAAATAGCACTTAAGAAGAATCCTTGAATAGCTGTAATCCTAAAATTATTAATACTTATTTAAATTTGGAACGCCATATGGTCTCCCATGTTATTAAATTCATACTTTTGAATTTAGAATGTCTTTCGAATCCGAAAAGTCAATCAGAGACGTAATTATTGATTGTTTAAACCAGCAGTTAAGTGAATTTGATTTGTTGAAGTCCATGTATCCAAATGACAATGAAGTGGTTTTGACAGATAATAATACAATTAATAGTATAAGAAGTTTTTTAGAAAAACAGTCTGAATATACACCTTATCATTTAGACTTTATTATTAATATATTAATTAGTGGTATGAAATTAGAAGTTTGTATTAATCTACCCACTTTATATCCAAATGAAGAACCAGATATTTATATAAGGTGTAATAAATTTAACCGACATCAAGAATCAAAAATAAATTTAGAGTTATCCAATTATATTAAGAGCAATCACCTTGGAGAAGTTTGTTTATATACAGCAATATCCTGGCTGCAAGATAATATTGATACATTCATCGAGATACCACCAGATGATTTTAATGCAGTGGACAATACAGAAAATAATCATTTAAAAGAGAATAGATTTGTTAGATTGTGGATATATTCACATCATATCTATAATAAAAAAAAGCGAGATGAAATAGTAAAAAAGGCAAAAGAGTTAAAATTGACTGGGTTTTGTGTACCAGGTAAACCTGGTATTGTATGTATAGAAGGAATGGATTTCAATTGTAATGAATGGTGGAAAGACATCAAATCAATGAACTGGAAAAAAATTGCAGTGAGAAAAACAGAAGTGTTTGATATTAGTGAACAAGGTATGCATCAGAAGTTTCTCAACTTTGAGGAAAAACACTTTAAAAACTCTACCAGTAAACATTCTGATATGAAGGAATTCTCAAAATTTATGGAAGAACATGGCTTAAGTAAAGCATTTAATGATGTTTTTGGTTTTTGTAATGACATCTAGTAGGGCCTTGGATTAAATACAATTTGGGAATATCCCAACACTTACAAAAGTTTAGTTTTTTATTGAGTTTGAAAAAAGAATATTTACTCTGAAATTAAAAAATATTTGAAGATTATTACTATAAAGCAAAATAAAAATAAAGGAACTTTCAACTTGTGATCCAAAAAAAAATTATTCAATGTTTCTATTTTAAATCTTAAATTAAAATTATTATGAAGGCCTTTCATTATTTATTAATATAAACTGTGTAAAATGGATTTGTCAACTAGGTACTGTTATCATACCCATGATTTGTGAAAGATTATAAAAATTTAAGAGTGTTTTTCTCTAATCTCTCCCCCCAATGAAAGGTGTTGAGATGAAAAATATCATAGACTTCTCTGTATGTGGCAGATATTTGTGGTGCACAAAATGCAGAAAGATGTTTTCTATTTTCCGTGGGCACCATCTAATGAATTTGCCACGGGCCTCTGCTTATATAGTTATGCCACTGGACTGGATACGCGTTTTGACGTCGCACTTGTGACAGAAATGTTTCTAACATTGTGCCGCCATCTAGTGACATTTATTTTTTAGTAGTTTCAATCACAAAACAGAAAAAAATAGTTTGTATGTAAGCCACAGTGTGACTAAACCAAACTTACACATAGAAAGAGTCTGAAAAATACTGATATCATATGCACACATAAATAATTTCATTCTGAATTCGATCTTTGAAAATAATTTCAAAAAAGCGTAAATCACATTAAAATTTAATTAAAATTCAACTTGTTTTAAAAAAATTATAGTTTAAGAAGGTTTAACTTTAGCGGGCGCGTTTTTTGATTTTAATATTTTTAACTAATACCTCTTGCATAAAATAGTGATCAGTTAATTGGTTTGTACTTACGTATTTATAGTGTATATAAGTATTGTTTATTATCTACTTTCTGGTGAGTCAAAATTTAATTGATATTTATTAGGTGTATGAACGAGCTACCGGAGCCGGGGGGTTTTGTCCCCCCGGCTAGTAATTTTGTTACGATAGGATCAAATAATGAATCTGGTATGGATACGGATGGATCAGTAGCTAGTCGCTCTCTGAAAAGGAGTCGACTTCATGTATGCAAACATTGCAATAAAAAAAGACGCAAACATAATAAATCAGAACCAAAACCTACCGATTGTAGTTGCTATGAATCGACTCCAGTTCAGTCTGAGCTGAATAATAAAACTGACTCATCTACGAAAGACCCACCTGTGTCTAATCCCACACCTACTCCTACTTTTGCCCCTGTATCCATTAGTAGAACATCATATGATAAAACAGATGCTGCTCCTTACGTGGTACATGTTCAAAAACAACAAGCGACACCTAACGATGGAACCTCATTGCATCCAATGGCTTTTGGTAAATTCTTAAAAAAGAACTGCTTCAAGAACATTATTAATGGTAGCGTAAAAAAGATTGGCCGCAATAAAATGTCTGTCTCTTTTTCAACACACTATGATGCAAACGATTTTATTATCCACAACAGTCTTGTTACAAACAATTTAAAAGCATTTATTCCTTCATTCAACATCACAAGAATGGGTTTAGTTAGAGGCGTTCCTTCAGACTGGTCTCCCGAGGAGGTTAAAAGTAATATATCTGTACCTATAGGTTGTGGTGAAATCTTGAAAGTGAGACGGCTAAATTATAAAACCTTTGTAAATGATACCCCTACTTGGAAGCCATCTCAAACTATTGTTTTAACCTTTGATGGTCAAATCTTACCAAAACGCATATTTATGTGTTATAATGCTCTTAATGTAGATTTATACATATATCCTACGATACAATGCTACCAATGCTGTCGCTTCGGGCATACAAAGTCTCAATGTAGATCTAAACCTCGATGTTTCAAGTGCGGTCAAAATCATACAGGTGAGTCTTGTAATACTTTGGAAGAAGATGCATCCTGCTGCTTATGTGATGGATATCATTTTGCTAATAATAAGTTATGTCCAGAATTTGTAAGGCAGTCACAAATCAAACTTTACATGGCACAAAATTGTGTATCTTATGCTGAAGCTTCTAAATTGATACCATCTATTTCTAAGTCTTACGCTGAAACTGTAGCTGCCCCACCTGCAAAATTGTCCATGAATGAGATGGAAAATAGTAGAGCTGTTCCCAATGTAAGCCCTAGGACATCTTACAAGAAAACTACATTTTTGAAACCTCGCTCTTCTCCTATGCCTACAAAGGGGTATGACACAGTTGCTCATAAAGCCTTATTAAAGGAATTTATGATTCCTTCACCTAATAATGGATGTGGTTTTAATAATGATACTAATTCTGCATCAGGTACACAACTTCCTACAGATTTTGTTACTGCTCTTTTCAATCTTTTTTCCCAGTTTAATCTCTTCCCACCGTCCAACGCTGCACAGAATATTGATAATAATATGAAACCAACTTTAAATGGACAGACAGACAGACAAAATAATTCAGTGGAATTGCTGTAGTGCTATTAGTAAAAAAAGTGAAATAATTTATTTACTAAATAAATATGAACCATCTATTTTAGTTTTATCAGAAACATGGTTAACATCACAAAAACACTTTCAAATTAAGGGTTATACTTCTTTAAGAGACGATAGAAGTGATGGGTTTGGTGGTGTAGCCATTCTCATAAAAAATGGTGTTAATTATGATCCCATTAGCATATCTATAAATCATAAAGATATTTCAATTGTAGCAGTGAAAGTATATAATATTAACATAGTATCAATTTATATCAGTCATCCATCTGCACCAATTTTTGGTGAAATAAATAATTTATTCTCTACCCTTCCTAGACCCTTCTTAGTTTTAGGAGATTTTAATTGTCACCATAGAGCATGGGGAAGTTCTATTATTAATAGTTATGGAGTAAATTTATTAGATATTATTGAGTCACATAATTTATGTTACTTGAACACAGGATCACCTACAAGACTCACTGATCCTAGACTTAATAAGAGTGCAGTAGATTTATCAATATGCACACCAAATTTGGCTTCTTCTTTATCTTGGCATACTTTATCTTCTACATTAGGAAGTGATCATTTCCCTATTATTATTACATTTCCGTTTAATAAACCTAGCATTTCCCAGAAAAAGTCTACTAGAAGATATAAATTACCTGATAAAAGTTCTAAAGATTGGATTACTTATAAATCTAATGTAGAATGCAAGCTTAAGCACCTCCCTGTTATAATACATGGAAATGAAAACATTTGCGCTGAAGCATTATCAAATATTTTAAATGAAGCTGCCAGAGAGGTGTTTCCTGTCAAAGAAAATAATTGCACAAAAATACCATCCCCTCCTTGGTGGGATAAAGATTGCACTGAAGCGGTTAAGAAGAGAAAAGAGGCTGAAAGAATTTACAATAATAATATGTCTGAAGCTAACTATGAATACTTGTCTAAAACGATTGCTGAAACAAAAAGATTATTTAAAAAGAAAAAATTTGACAGTTGGAAAAGTTTCTGTAGTTCTATTTCTCCTAACACACATCCTACTCTTGTTTGGCAAAACATAAAAAGATTTAAATCTTCATATAATATATCTTCTGGAATTACTATTCCCACCGAAATAACTATTGATTTCATGGACAAATTGGCCCCTTCATGGGTTCCCATACTCAACACTGCACAACCTTCGCAGTCGTCTTATAATCAATCTGGTTTAAATAGCCTCTTTTCTCTTCGTGAACTGAAAAGTGCAATATATCATGTTAAAGATTCTGCTCCGGGGGAAGATGGAATCCCATATTCATTCTTTGCTAATGTAAGTGACAATATCCTCTTTTATTATCTACAACTTATCAACACTATCATGTTAACAGGAAACATACCTCTGTCATGGAAGTCACAAGTAGTGTTGCCCATCCTCAAACCAAATAAACCACCATCTGAGGCCAGCTCATATCGACCGATAGTTTTATCTTCTGTGCTAATAAAATTAGCTGAAATTTTAATTAAAAACCGTTTGGAATGGTTTGTAGAAAGTCAAGGTATACTATCGAGAACGCAATATGGATTTAGAAAAGGGAAAAGTACAATGGATAATATAAGTATTTTCACAACTGACATACGTATAGGTTTTACAAACAACGAATCTATAGTGGCTGCTTTTTTGGACATCAATTCTGCTTATGATAATGTGTTAGTGTCAGTATTAAAAAATAAATTAGAATCGCTAAACATCCCGTCAATGTTAACTAATTTTATTATGAACATATTAGAAGAACGTAATTTGATTGTTAGTTTATCTAGTTATTCAGAAATAAAAAGGACTGTATGGAAAGGGTTACCCCAAGGGTCAGTCCTTAGCCCTTTGCTATACAATATCTATACACATGATTTGGATTCTTGCTTCGATAATCATATAAAGCTTTTACAATATGCGGATGATTTGTTATTATATTCAACAAACCGATCAGTTGAGATAGCTGCGTCACATATTGAGTTGGCCTTGATTTCATTACACTCCTGGATGCTTACCAATGGCTTAGATTTATCTGCATCCAAAAGTACAATCGTAGTTTTTTCAAGAATGAGGAATCCCCCTTTAATTAGAGTTCATTATAATAACTTGCCTATACCAGTTGAATCACAAGCTAAGTTTTTAGGTGTGATATTAGATTCCAAGCTCTCCGGTCGCTCCCATATAGATTACATTATCAAGAAAACTGAACGACTATTGAATCTTCTTCGATGTCTCTCCGGTGTCTGGTGGGGGGCTCACCCTCAATCGCTCAAGTTGGTTTATAACGCGCTAATTCGAAGTGTATTGGATTATGGTACTTTCCTTTTAGAACCTGCCAGCTTAATTTCGTTAAAAAAATTAGACGGTATTCAATCAAAAGCACTTAGAATTATAACTGGTGCTATGAGCTCAAGCCCAATCAATGCTTTACAAATCGAAACTTGTGAACCCCCACTCAGTATTAGACGACAATTTCTTGCAGATCGATTTTTGTTCCGATCTCTTCAATTCTCCGACCATCCTCTTTTCCACCTACTTAACTCTCTGAACAATGAAATAACTACAGCTAGCTATTGGTCTCATAAACAACTGCCTTGTTTAATAGTAAGCTATCAAAAATACTTGAGCCTCCATTCACCTATACATCGGTCAAACCGTCTTCCAGTGTTTAATATAGATTATGACGCCTTGCTAATTTCACCATCTGTAAGGTACGATCTGATAGATAAACATAACGCTAAAACCTTTAAATCAATTATAGATTCCGAATACGAAAATTACCATCATATATACAGTGATGCTTCTAAGTCTTCCTCTTCTGAATGTACGGGCATAGGAGTCTACCACTCTCAGTTTTCCATTGTGCAGAAAAGTAAACTTCCTCCGGAGACATCTGTATTTACGGGGGAATGCCTTGGCTTACTAAAAGCTGTCGAGTATGTCGTTCTCATGAAACTAAATAAATCAATAATATTTTCTGATTCAAGGAGTGCTTTACAAGCTATTGATAATTTTCCATTCCGTACAAGATTATATAACCCACTTGTGTTTGATATAAGAAATAATCTTTATAAATGTGTTAAAAAAGGGTATCTGGTAGAATTTGTGTGGCTTCCAAGTCACGTGGGAATTCAAGGTAATGAGAAGTCTGATCAATTAGCAAAAGAGGCAGTACATTGTGGAGACATGTTTCCTTTTAAAAATTATACCCATGACTTGCTGTTGCTGCCGTTGTGTCATTTGCATAAGGAGTGGCAAACTTATTGGACAAATAGTGGACAAGTAAAGGGAAAACATTATTATCAAATACAACCTAAAACTATGATGAAACCGTGGTTCCGTAAAATTAAGATCAGTAAGACTGCTACTAGTATTTTAATACGCTCGAGAATTGGTCATGTTAGTACACCAGCACATCTTACTAAGCTGGGAATTGTTAGTGATGCTTCCTGTAGGTGTGGGTCAGACTACTGTGATCTTAACCATATATTGTTTTCTTGTACACTATACGATCGATCCGAATTCCTTAAAGATCTCATATCCTTACGTGTTTCCTTTCCCACATCCATAGTTTCTTTGCTCTCGTCTAATAACATATCAGTATATCAATGCATAGCGTCTTTTATAATATCAAATAATATTAAAGTCTAAATATCGTTATTACTTTTTATGTATGTTATATAACGTATATATTCTATATATATTAATATTTTCGTTTCCTGATCCTATTGCTAAAAACCTGTCGCAAATCCTATCCTTTTTCCTACCATCGTTTCCCTACCTTTGACACTGGCAAATACACAAACCGTGTGAGTAGTATGACGTAGCACTGCTAACCCTTACTAATTTTATTTAGTTGGTGATTCTTGGAAATTTGATCTTCCCGTTTAATACATCCGTCAAAATCATAAAAAAAATCGGATTGATATATTTTTTTTCTCGGTGACATCAGTCTACTATAATATCAGATTCTATTTAGATTCATGATTTTTGAAGAATAATATTGACGGTTGTATAAAAATGGAAGTACAAATTTCCGAGGATCGCCCAGTTAAAAATTTATCTATAGGGGGCACTGCCAACAATGTTTTAAAGCAATACCTAACTAAAAACATACTTGAAACTATATGCACTGCTTTTTATGCTTACACAAAATAAATGGTACTCAAACAATAAAACACATTACATTAACAGGAGAATCACAGTTGAATCGTGAAATATTTAACATTTCTGGACCTGAAAAGCATTAGGTCGGATGTGCAGAACCAGCTAAAATCACTTATCGCCATAACGTTGCTACACTCTTTTTTCTCTTTCCGGCAAATTAACTCTTGTATGTTTGTGCCTTTTTACTCATGAGCAACAGTCATGCATAAAGTCGGATCAGACGACTTTTTCAAATATTTTGATTGCATTTAGCTATTTCTGTTTTTATACAGTTATGCCTAAGATTCCCGACATCCGACCTAATGCTTTTCAGGTCCAGATTTACTTTTAAACAATTGTAATTCTTGTATTTAAGTGTATAAAATGTAGACTACACCTTCCAGATGTTGAAAGCCTGGTGATCTGTCAAACTGGTTTTATACTCAAGTGCAGACACCAGTCTCCTCAATACATTTTGATGTCCCTAATACATTGTATACAATTGTATTTTTTTGTATTGTGGAGAAAAATAAAGAAATATTATTTTATGCCTAGACTTGCTTTTCTTTCTTCCGTAAACAGAGTATTGCTAGTGAATATCAAAAGTATTAAATCTGCTATAAAATCTTTAAATATGACGATGACGTTGAGGAATTTTAAAACTACGAGTTAGTATCGATATATTTCATTTGATACCGAGTAGGTATCTATACTTCATGACCAATACGGTATCGAGTAGAAGTTTAGGGATGACGATACCTAGGTAGTATCATTATCCCAAAATTATTTATCTATTTTTTATTCTGTGTATTCAATATCAATAGTACGTAGGTACCAAAAATTCGTGATTACGTTTTGAATTTCAATGGTTTGTTGTTCGATAGATATTTCATAAATAAGAAGTCACTCACGCACTTGTGACATCGACGTGGCGCTCTAACTTATTTGAATATGTTGCCATATTGGTCTTCATTTATTTTTATTTGATGTTAAACTTTTGTTGAATATCTGAAATCTACATTTTTTGTATGTTGACTAAAAGACGAGGTTCTAAACCAGAATAAATTATTAAAAAAAAACATGCTAGCTTGCTGTCTGTCAGTTGCTATGGTTGTCAGTCAGTGTCAGTCAATGAGAGTTTTTTTTTACGTTACTTCTCTGAAGTCTAATATTAAACGATTGATTTATCTTATTTTTTTTACAAGTGAAGTATTCTCTCGACTCATAAATCGCTAGGTTGCGTTATTCTTTTTAGCCATGGCTTCACCTCTAGAGCAGTTTGTAAATAATGTCAGGACCATGTCGGCTTCTGGTACGAAAAATAAACGACAATCAGAATTGGTTACAAACATCCTGTAGCTGGAATATTTATGTAAATAATGTACGTTTGTCTTGGCAGGTAATTTTCGTGAATTATGCGAAATCATCGGAAAATCTGACGAAGTGTTACAAAGAAATAGTGCTCATCTAAATACAGTTCTAGAAACACTCGATATTCAACAACATTCTCTTGGAGTTCTGGCAGTATTAGTAGCTAAGTTTTCATTACCACAGGTAAGTTATGTCGCAGAAAATCTAGTATAGAACATAAATACATCATATAAATTTAATTAATTATTATAATGTATCTATAAGTAATACATACATTTGAGTTACTTAATTTTCATTAGTTTATGTTTGATTGAATATTACAGGGCTCTTTAAGTGATAATGATAAATCTAATATGTTTCAACAAATACATGATTTTATAAATAATTGTAATGGAGAACAAGTTCGATTTGCACCAGATTTGTGTGAGTAAACAAATTATTAACTTTATGCAGAGATAAATAAATATTATAACTAGTAACTAGTGTGTACTCTAGAAATGAATTAAAGTTCTGTAAAAATTATGTTGTAAGTTAGTAGTAATTTTCAAAAACATTTTTAAATGGTTTCAGATGCTGATTTATGTCATCTACTTACTGACCATCTAGTAGAAATAAAACAACCCATCCGTGGCATTGAAATATTAAAGAAATCTATAAGGAAAATACAGTTGTTTGACTCACAGCTTACTTCTATCCATGCGGATTTGTGCCAGCTCTCTCTGTTATCTAAATGTATGAAACCAGCACTTGAATTTTTGGATACTGATGTTACTGGAATAAGTTCTGAGGTGTGAAAATAAATAGATAACTTTTTATACAAATTATTTGGTAATTGAATTTTTGCTAAAATTATTCCTGAAGTGTTTCTACATGGGACCAATAGATGTCAAAATATTTCTACCAGTTCAAACCAACATGACTTATATTGTAAATGATTATATTGTTAGAAATATAATATTTTCAACCAATGATATTTAAATAGTATAGTAGACATACTGAATAAATATTGCCCCTGAAGAAAACACTTGAGGGGCAATAGATAGACTAATGGTATGTCTTTTTTTTCTAGTTGGGTGGAAATAATGACTCCAAACATTTTCTACTTTACTATTATTATGGAGGCATGATTTATACAGCTATGAAAAACTATGATAGAGCTTTATATTTCTTTGAAGTAGTAGTTACAGTGCCTGCAATGGTTGTATCTCATATTATGTTGGAAGCATATAAAAAATATATTCTTGTGTCATTTATATTACATGGAAAGGTATGTAAATCAATTACATATACTAAAGTATTGAGCTAATGCACACCTGCTTGAAGCTGATCATTGCTATTAGTAGCAAACTAATCTATTGCTATTTGGAAATTTATTTGTGTTTTAATGATGAAATACAATCAAGTGTTATATAATAAATTATGTTAATACAGATTTTACCAATGCCCAAATATGTATCTCAAGTTGTATGCCGCTTTCTCAAACCATTATCAGTGGCATATCATGAACTAGCCACTTCTCAACACGCAGCAATAAAACACCGTGAAACCTTTGTGAGAGACAAAAATATGGGACTAGTAAACCAAGTAAGTGTCATTGAATCCATCAATAGTCTAGTATAAGAGCCTTTCTTGTTCATCTTTATTCTTTACACCTCGTGTATTAAATGTATATAACTCCCAAGTTAACTGGTAAAGAATGTCTGAATTAATTAATTTACACCATTTGTATAGTTTGGGGTGGAATAGTGACAAGTTCTTATACAAGAATATAACAGTAAGCCATCAAGTCATATGTAATGATTCATTATACCAATTATTACTAATTTCTATTTGACAATATCCTATTTTTCCTTATATTTATTGATAAATGTTTTCAGGTGTTAAGTTCAATGTATAAAAAGAATATTCAAAGACTAACTAAAACATTTTTGACTCTGTCCCTGAGTGACGTAGCTTCGCGTGTGCAGCTTTCAGGACCAGCTCAGGCAGAAACATATATCCTTAATATGGTAATTATCCCATAAATTTAAAAGTACCAGTATCTAAGTCACAAAAACTATTAGTTTGAATATATTAAGTGATCTATAACTTTTTGCCTTTTAGATTGAAGAAGGCGAAATATACGCCATGATAAATCAAAAAGATGGAATGGTAGTATTCTTAGACAGTCCTGAAAAATATGCTTCACCAGAAACCTTGTGTGTTTTGGAACAGCAAATGGCTGCCTGCACAAAGTTGCACCAGTATATTCAAGAAATGGATGAACAGATTCAAGTAAATCCACAGGTGGGTATTAGTTACAGTATTATATACAACTAATGTGGCTCCAATAATTAACAGTAATGCATGAATGTTGACCAGTCAGCATTCAAATATTACGCCATCAGACAATCCACCAATATCCATGCGTTTAGACCTCTTTCCTGGAGTTTGAACCACCTAATACTTCGAATTTTACACCTTACGGTTATTGAAATAAAACTCACTATAAACTTTAATAATACATTTAGTCGTCATTGGAATTAGTTAATCTGCTCTGCGCAGATGAAGATTGAGTATATTAATATGAATGTCACACATGTTTTAAGGTATAGACATGTTTTGATTAAGGTTTAGAATTTGTTAATTTAAAACTTGTAGAATTAGGGCATGTAGTGTGAAAAGGTTGAATCTCCATACAAAACCTTCACAATGGTATACAACAGGCTGGCAACACCACGGTCTTGAATTTAAAACAAAGTGTATGTTTGCTATGATTTTACTATCAGGAAAGTTTGCTATCTGTTGATAGAATTCGGCAGGCGTTACGCATTTGATCCATAATTATTACTTACACCGAGTAGCCTTTGGCATTAGAATTTCCACAAATAAATTTGACTGGGCACTTAATGAGACACATGATTTTTTTGTCTTCATCTAAACCAATATTATTTTTTATTAATTACAGTATGTTAAAAAGTCTGTTGGAAGCCATGATGAAGATATGCCAGCAACAAGTCAGAATTCTAAAACTACGTACACCATGTAACCTACAATATATTAATATAGTTTCAATAAAATAATAACAATAATATAAAAAGTATATATTTTATTCCAATACCCCATATCTGTTCCAGTAATGTTTAACATAACAAATAAAAACAATTAGCATATTTCAATTTAAAAAATAAATTTGTTATAATGCCTCGTGCACAGCTTGTGTAAATACTTTCATACTTTCTATAGGCGTTTGTGGAGTGATCCCATGGCCTAAGTTTGCTATATATCGGAATTTCCCAAATTTTTGAACCATGTCTATGGTAAGTTTTCTCAGTTCATCCTGTGAAATTAATTAATGTTAATATTTGTTATTATATTTCATGGGCTTCCAGCCACACGTATAAGTAATACCCTTACTTTTCACTAGTCAAAAAAATAAACATGACTATAGGGCATATGTCGAAGTGTCTCAGTTATATGTTTTTAAGTAATTCGCCAATTATTAAAAAATAGGTTTTTTAATTCATAAAATTAGCGAAGTCTGGCGTTATAAAAAAATATCATATTTGCGTATAGACCCTTCTGGCTTGAAGCCCGCAATTCGATTAATTTTTCATTCACAATGCTGCATACTGTTAAATAATTATAATTTGATTCAATTTCTTGGCAATTCTGTAATGCGTTACATTAAGCAATTGGGAGAATAAAAACGCCTAGTGAATTATCGCAATGTAGAGGCTCTTTTAGGAATCTCTTTTAGGCTCTCTTAGGAATAAAAATACATACGCACCGGCGTTTTATATAAATCTTGGGGATCCAGATTGCCTTGTAATGTTATATTTTCACCAACAATATTTCTAGCTTCCACAGGATCTACTGTCCAATCCAAACCAATAACTTCATAACCTAATTGAGCTTGCACGTCTAAGGAATGTCCTGCACCCTTGGCGAAGACAGTCTGTAGATCATGTAGGACACATGAAGATGTTAATGGACAAAAAATTACGAGTGATTGAGAATTTGCAGTGCCAGCTCAAGGAAACTTACCCTACACCGATTAAATTGTGATTTTGCGAATTACAAAACAAACTCCTTAGATACTGCTGGTCTGAAAAATTAGTTCTTTTGAATACCGCTGAGTTAGAGTTGGAGTAAACATAATTTGTTTGCCGTGCCATGCTCTTTTTCACTAGCTTCAGTCACTAAATATTATGTTTTCTCACTCTTCTATTGAACAAGGGGAATAGTTTAAGCCACAGGGCCAACTAGTAGCATTGAGCTTGCTTTAATTTATGTCCGCGATAATAAAAATGCAAAATTCTGAGTCTAACTGTATCTAAGGAGACTTACTTTTTAAACAGTGTATTACATTGTTGTGTTGTGATTTTTTATGTGCGTCATTTCAGTGTTTGCCTATAAGTAAATTATTACTCGAAGACCATCTAACTCACAATCGAAATTATTTCGGTTCCGAATAAGCGAAAGGTATTTAAACTTCTGTGTACTTCAAGTGCGGGTGATTCTACTGGAATCAAACTTCCGGTTTGATACAGACGTTATTATTGTTCTTCAACTTTTTTTTTTAATGTTAAATTCTAATAGAGTCTGATATTGTAGCAGACTCTGATATCGCCGATATAAAAAAAGGCCAATCAGATTTAATTATTTTCGTAGAACAATAATGAATGACGGATGTATCAAACCGGAACTCGATTACCGTATATTCACCACGCATATATTAAATTATTTCGGGAAATATGACCTCTAAACCTAAGTCCTAAATAATACCCAGTCTAGCCATAAGTTCTGTTACAAAGAAAATATCCGATAATTTCTAAAAAATATTTTTATTTTAATGTTTTATATGTGATTTTGTAGAGTGAAACAGATATGTTAACGCACTAAACTAAGTAGTTATTCAAAGTGTCCACCCCTTAGCTTTAACGCACGCTTTTAAACGGTCGGGCCATTCGTCGATTGATTTACGAACGGTTACCATTGGAAACTTGGTCACTGCTGCCTCCAAAGATTTCTTGAGCGATTCATTATTTGGGTGAACGCTTAGAGCAGGCCATGTCCTCTAGCACAGACCACAATTTATAGTCCAAAGGGTTTAAGTCAGGACTAGCCAAAAGGCCAATCATCAGTTTTATGAAGTCTGGATCATTTTGTTCAAGCCAAATTTGGATAGTACGCGCCTTATGACCCGGGGCTGAATCCTGTTGGAATGTCTACACTTCGTTTTTGAATAAGGTGTTATTGAGAGGTTTAACTACCGCTTCTAACACGTTATTTTGGCTAAAGTTTTCACTATTTTTTCGCAAAAATGGAGTTTTGTAACCCCTTGGTAGGAGACCAAACCAACCATGACGTGTGCTGGATGATGGCCTCGCTGAACTTTGGCTACTACCTCGGAATTCTCATTTCTCTGGAAAGGATTTTTTGCTTCCTTATGGGATTTCGACGAATTCTGGCCTTGACTGCATTAACGGCCTGGTTTGTTCAAATAGACCGCGATCGTCCGAATCTCTCACGGTCATCAACAGAGGTTTCAGTGTACCTTTGGATGGTACGATATACAAACATTCGGCTAATCCCTAGCATTTTCAATGTATCAAAAATGTCGGGATGGCTACTTACCTACTTTGTACAGTGCAATTACTACAATCCTATTCTCTTTAGTGCCCCACTCCATTTTCATAACAAATAATTTCTAAACAAAAAATATACCATAATGGTGGGAAATAAGTTTTATTTTTTATCGTAGAAGGTAATGTTCGAACAGCCAGTAACAGAATTTATGGCTAGAATATGTATTACACTGTTGTTACACTATTTTTATTGCTTTTCTTACCATTGGGACTTGGTCCAGGTTTCTGTCATTAAGTTTACTTCTAACACCATTCCTGATTTCTTTAAGGTAATTAGCAGAAAATTCAGAAAAAAGTTCCTTGGTCAGGTGGTCTGCACTAGACTCGAAAACTTGTAGTAGTTGTGCACCACTGTCCACCTACGAAAATAGTAATGTACTAAACGAATAATTATTAATGTTACCAACTCGATACATAAGGCAAGTGCTAGTACTTCTCAATCTAAATCAGTAGATTGCTAGGGATATTAAAAAATAGTGCTAACTTTTTCACTATGCAAAAAAAATAAAGAATAAACACAAAGTATAATGAAAGTATAATATTCAGAATCTTCTGGAAAGGATTTTTTTTATGTAGAATCGTGCGTGGGACTATGTGAAACAGAAAAAATCTGATCTAGCACCGAAAGTGCTATGTTGGCAACATTGATAATTATTGTCATTAAGAGTACAAGTTTCCAAGTAGCTATAACAATAAAAGTACCTACCTATTTGTAAAGATCTGAAAGCAGCGACGAAATAAAGTTCGCAATTCTCCTTATTGTGCAAAGATTTTTTATGTAGTATACCTATTACATTACTAGAAAATTTGTTTAAAATTAAAATTTAAAAAGTGCGGAGACGCACCATAATAGGCATGCAGAGCGGTACTTCCACTTTACAGTTGTACCATTACAAAAAGTCACATTTGACAGCTATCAATCTGAATTTGATAGTAAGGGCTCCTTCATAAAATTTTTTTGAAAGAAATTTGAATCGAATGAAGTTATTGTGTATCAGTATATATTACTTCGCGAGATTGATTTAATAAATTATGTATTGTGTCGAGACTGTATCTTGTTACAGTGAAAATAACAAAAGAAAATCACAGATAATAAATTTGTATCTCATTGCCCACGGCAAATAGAACTGTTAGATGACTTACTAGCAAACTTCATATTACAAATATTCTTAACTGCTGCATGATTCCATCGGTCACAAAGTAATTAACGTGTTTATTATTTTGTCATAATATAAAATAATTTGAATAAATTGAGTATTTAGGGTTAAATTTGTTTTTTGGTTCTATAGAGAAAATTTTATAAATTCACATTTTGGATGTGACAGATTTTCGTTAAAAATATGATTTTAGTTTATATTTTTTAATGGTACAAAACCAATTGAAAGTTTTTGGTGTATGCGCCCTCATTATCGTTTTTATAATACAGTTGGAATTGCTATTTATGTATTATTTTGTACATAGACGCATTTTCACAAAGGAAAAATTAAATACAAGTTTTCAGTATACCTGCATGACTAGATAATCAACAATTACTCTTGTTAATAGACTAAGAAGTTTGTGGACGTCTTTTGGATACTTTTCCAGCCATTCTTTTGTTTTGGACATTGTTTTACTGCCTCCACCTTCAATCATATATCCCATTAAAGTAAACTGCAACAATGATTGTAATTTCATCTTTTAATACAGCACAGTCATATTATTGATGACCCGCAATCTCCCATACACATATTTTTCAAAATATGCAAAGTTAATAATAGTAAATTAATATATCTATATTTTTTCACAAACTTACTGTTTTCCCGCAACTTGGCCAGCGTAAATTTCCCGTAGGTATAAGAATTTTAACATTGGCCCCGTAGTTTCGGAGCCTAATCAATGCAAAAAACAAACAGTCAAATCTTTACTCCTTATAATTTTAGTATGCTAAGATAATTAATTTTGGCATGGCAAGGAAAACAACTATATCTGACTACAATAATAACATGACTGAATATAAATTCAAAACACTCACAGGTGCTCCAGTAAAACCGATTAACGGTACTTTTCCTTCTATTTTATGTCTTGTTAATGTTATTGCGTCTCCTACATATGATAACCTGGAAATAGCACCTTCTTCCTGTAGAGAGTTGATTTCTGAAGGTTCTTTTAATGGTTCAGGAAATACAGGTCCCTGGAATTGACAATATTTTGAATTCATTATTTTATTCGAAATGTATGTATAAAATTCTCCCCCAAAACTGTTATAAATGTGAAAGTAACTTTGTCTCTCTGTTACGTTTTCGTATTTAAAGTGATTTAGAAGAAATATGGTATGGATATATACGACCCTGGAACGACATGACAAATAAATGAGCCTTCCTATAAGTTATATAATAGACGGCAAAATTAAAAACGTAGTTCATAAAAATGTGTTGAAAGAAATTAGGAGCTTTCGTTACAAATGTGTAACTATTGCCAGAGTTTCATTATAATGGTATACAAGTGGTAGGGGAAAATTTTTTTTTGGACGATTTAAAAGTGCTTGTAATAGCCTACTTGAATAAAGATATTTTCATTTCATTTCATTGAATATAATTTGAATAGAAAATGGAAATTGATCAAAGCTCATAAAAAACATAACATACATTGCTGGAAGTACTAACTCCACGCGCAAGATCCGGACTATAGCTACTATAATATAAAATTTGTATAGGTTATTTGTAGTTGCAGATATACATGGATAAAACTGATTGATAATTTGTTATCAATTTTGAGGTGTTGATTAGCGGAAAAATAATCAAAAAATATAAATAAAACATAAGCTGTTTAAAATTCATTATCGGAAAATTTATAATAGCAAACTTTGAAACTCCAAACTATCGAATGAATCGTCCCGATTTGTTTCAATCCAAACGGAGAGTTTTTGTTCTAGAGTTACCTGGCGAAGTACCAACCCCAAATTTAAGACAAGGATTTGAAGTTTGAAATAAATATCAAATAATAATCTTTTTTAATAACGTCGTTAAAAAAAAATGAAACTATTTATGATGTCCCTACCGCTGGTCCTACCCAGTGGATGGAATTGAATAGGGAGAATGGACCATGCGGCCGACCAACCCACCACGCGGGCTCAATGCGAATTGGTGGATGGAATTGAATAGGGAGAATGGACCATGCGGCCGACCAACCCACCACGCGAGCTCAATGCGAATTGGTGGATGGAATTGAATAGGGAGAATGGACCATGCGGCCGACCAACCTACCACGCGGGCTCAATGCGATTTGGTGAGTAAACGACTGTAGATACAGCCGGGACCAACGGTTTATTGTGTTTTGAGAAGGGCGGAGAAGATCAAAATGATAATGTTTTTAAAATTCTTGGTCACCCATCCAATGCGAAAGTCGCTTAAATTCCGCATCGCAGAACGAATGCGCGAAATGCTCGGTCAATGTTTTGGTTTTATTCTGAAGATGGAGAATTCTACTTCTTGATTTCTAGTGATTTAACGATGTTAAAATAAATTTAATTGAAATTAAAAGCACTAAGGAGTATGAACTGATATCAACTTCGATGGAAATCACATCCAAAATAACTTTATACTGCCTTTGCGTAACGGGGTTATTACGCAATGAGTTTCAATTTAAATACACACGTCTTCCATTAATTCTGTTATAAATAAAGAATTGTTTATGCAAAATTTGTAAACAGATTAGGACCACGGAAACGCATTGTCCCATACAAACTTCGTCTCCATTTCTCGCCACCTTATTAGAGGATAGAATTTCAGAAAATCCTTTCTTGTCAGATGTCTACATGATACAAAGAACACACCCTCCAAGTTTCAGGTCTCTACGATCAGCGGTTTTAGGATCTGCGTTGATCCGTCAGTCAGTCATTCTGGACAACGAATTTTATAAGTATAGATTAATTTACAGCTTTTCATAAGTATAGATTAGTTTACAGCTTGGAAATGTATCTTATGGGGAATCATCTATTATTAAGTAGGTATCTAACGTTGCCATTATTACATCTTTGGACCGAAACAGCGCTGTACTAAATTCAATAAAATCATAGAAAATCTGTCGTGTCCGGTGTAGTAGGACCTTCAACGGAATCAACAGGCGGGCAGGATGCTTTTGATTAATGACTATTATAGGCGTTGCACGGAAATATCCAAGGCCGGTTTTCGTGCCTTTCGCCTCAATCTCGGTCACCTCTGCGAGTAAGGAAGGCTCGAAGCAATTGAGTCTTACTCCCTAGACCACTTGTGGGTCCCTCACCCCAGTGACCGTCAAAGCACCGATTGGTCCTGCTAAGCTTTGGCTATGTGAAAAAAAAGTTAGAACTCCTTCCCACCATAGAGATACTTTTGCTAAGATTTATTTAAATTGATAAAAAATAAAAAAGTTGTTTACAAATTACTTGTTTTATTTAGAATTTAATAAAAATATATAGAAATAAATGTGGTTAAATGACTACAACAGTACATAAGTGAATATGTCAAGCTGCAGCTATTTAAGCTGCACTCAAATGTGTATGCTGATACAATGGAAAGAAACCTCAATAATAGCCTATTCCTAGTCTAGACCTCTGTAACATATCAACGGAGTACTACCTATTGTTGTATAAGGTGGGGTCAGTGACCTAGAACAGTCTGTACAATAAAATATATAAGTACAGGGATCTATGATTAGTATTGCATATTTACTTTCAATGATCACATAATATATGCCTTAATGTCTGTCTTCACACCTGCCCTATTAACAATAAAATACTTAGCATGGAACTATACTTACATGTTGTCATCGACTTTGTAAAACTATTATTAATATTATAGTTAAACTTTCTACATATACAATTTACTTTTATAGATCTAGTTTATGAAATTATGTTTTTAAGGTCATAGGTACCGGTATAAGATATTTCTGCAGTTAAGAGTTGCATATATACATTTACCTATAGACTGTATTTGGGTAAGTGAAAGTACATGCAATGTCATAGTTATATGTAAGCTACGAAAAGAAAACAATATTGTCACTATTCCTAGACTTGTAAATTGTTTCTGCAAGTACAAAGTTTTGTTGTATAGGTACTTTAGGTTGCTGACCCCACTTGCATAATAGTGGTTCATAACCTTTCAGTAATAAGTAATAATAACCATTTTCAATGTTGCTATAGCAGCCACATACTTGGGGGTTCATTTTTTCTCAGGTACAAAAGCCACGTAACCTTGTTTTAATATGCAGTACCTGAGTCAATATAAATAATGTATTATATGTTTTATGTACATAATATATATATAACATATGCATAAAATATTTATATGTATTTCATATAATAATCATTTTATGAGGCTCAGCAGAAAACTTGGATTGCTACCAGTGATCTGTGGACCACTGTTCATTAAACACTGTCCTACAAGAATTGGGAGTGCTCCTTGGAAATTATATAGAAGTAGCAATAAATATTATTTACTTTCAAAAATACTAGAAAAGATTCTTTTGGTATGTATACCCTATCTAAAATATCGGTAATCCCTGAACATCAGTTTCGATTCCGACAAGAACACAGAACAGTGGAACAAGTACACACAGTTGTTGATTCATTAAGTCTCTGGATTTAAAAGAAAACTGTACATCTGCATTCCTCAACATACAACAAGCTTTTGACACAGTTTGGCACAATGGCTTACTCTGCAAAATCAAAAGGTTACTGCCACATACCTTCTTCAGCATAGTAAAATCATACCTTTCTGAGAGTATCTTTCACGTAAGAGACGAATAATACTCATCCAGTTTCTATAAAATATGGGCTGGAATACCGCAGGGATCAGTGTTGGGACCCCTTTCGTATACCATATTTATATCGGATCTTCTAGAAACCACTAAAGTGTTGACTGCTTTTCAGATGACACTGCCATTCTTGCTAGCAGCAAGATCCAGAGGAAGCAAACAAGCTTCTACAGCAGGAGTTGTATAAAATAAAGAAATGGAGAATTAAGAGAACTTTTCCGAAATTATGTCACATTTACACTTTGTAAAGAAGACTGTCCATCTGTAAAACTGGAGGGGACAATATTACCGCACTGGGACACAGTTAAATATTTGGGTATACACTTAGATTGTAGAGTAACATGGAAGAACCACTTGCTTACCAAAAAAGAGACCAAATCAACATCAGATACAGTAATTTGCAGTAGCAACTTGGATGAAACTGTGCTGAGCATTACCTTGTAAATAAGGAGTTTGTTATACAGTAATCCTAAAACCAAACTGGACATATGGTATTCAATTGTAGGGATAAGCCTGCAGCTCCAGAATAGAAACATTCAAAGAGCACAAAATAGCATCTCAAGAAATCTATCTAATGTGCCATGGTTCATAAAAAAAACTGAGCTCCATAATAAACTTGGAGTTTGCATAGTCAAGGATGATATAAGGCAAACCTCTGCCAAATTCAAAGAGCGCCTTCTTACTCATCCAAATTGCCTGGTGGTACAATTGACTAGTGTCAATTACTTAGATCTTGAAATGATGGAAACAAAGAATGGAAAGATACCGAATGCAGTATTGTTCCTACAAGATAAAAACGCTCACATCACATCTGCATATAGTCAATAGACTGGTCACTAGTGGTCGGAATTAGGTAGAGTTATTCATGTACTTACACTGATTTCATACAGCGAAAGAATAAAGTGGATATGCCTCAAATCCCGAGATTAATTTTAAAGAGCAGAAAAAATCCCATGATTTTTTAAATAAAAAGTTAATTACTTTTACACAATTTAAACTACTGCACGCACGACATTGCCAAACTTACATCAATGACATCGGATGTCCAAAGGTGTCCAAGATTGTCCATTAGAAATCCTGGGAAGGTCCACATTAATATCAACATTTCGATGCAAGTACATAAATAACTCTACCTAATTCCGACCTCTGCTGATCACAAATAAAGAAATAACAAACAAAAAAATACTTTCAATATACATTCAAATTATCACATTTTATTCACATAATATGTACACTGAGTCACAATCTGTTCTTTTGCCTACTCTAGGATAAGTCTTTATTTAACATCAGAATCCCCCATCAATCTTATTCTAACCCATTCCTCAAATTAAGCATATCCATTCTAGTCAAAGTTAATTTAGTTGTTTCTAAAATAATGAATGAAACTGGTGATATACTTTAATGCAGTTAAAAATATCAATACATAACTTACCACACCAGGGTGCATTTCCACTGCCATACCTAAAGCTTGTGGAATAACAAGGATATCACTGAATATTATAGAAGCATCCAAGTCTTCAAATCTTCGTAGTGGCTGCAATGTAACCTCACAAGCCAATTCTGGAGTTCTACATACAGTAAAAAAGTCATGTTTGGCTCGTATTTCTTGGAACTCCGGCAAATATCTACCGGCTTGTCGCATCACCCAAACAGGTACCTTATCAACATCTTGACCAAAGGCAGCTTTTAAAAGACGATCATTTTTCAGGTCTGGGAAATTCTGTAACCATGTAAAAAGTAACAGGGCTATGATAATGTGCCTTGTTGATTTGAAATTATAATTTCAAATGAAGTATCTAATTTATCACCTTATTGGTCAAGTTACTCATGATATTTTGCTACGCTTAATTTATTTTCAAACTATTTCGTTTTTTGTTTTTTATCAGTAGTTTCAAATAAACAATTATTTTACACACAAATATTCATCTGCATCTGCTTTTTGATCTCGTCTGTCGTGCCACCGCAACGCGAGCATCGTCATCTACCCCGTTATCTGTGGCATGACCGCAGCGCGGTGGTTGACATTCGGTCTCCTTAAATCGGCCGAGTCAGCGCTCTAAAATACCTTTGTCCCTGTTTCTCCTACGTAATAAAGAGTAAGATAACAAAGACGGAATATTAACAAACAAAATCTAACATCTAATACAATTCTTTATGGTAGTGAGCTGTTACTTTATGGTACATTCTCCGCTCACTGTAGTCATTGTTTAAAGCAATAAAGTTTGTGTTTAGTGTCTCCGCTTGGAATTATTCGAGGAAAATGTAAGTATTGTTTATTATTCTTTCATTTTAAATAAATATTAGCATGTATTTAATCCATTTTTCTTGTTTTATCCGTCGTTGAAGTGTGGACTCCACTGCTTGCCACTAGGGTCTCGAATTTTGTCTTTAAGGTTTTTAGGTTACATAAATATCAAAACTTATTGTACTGTTGTTTATTGCGTATTAAAATTAAACTGTTTCCTATTATTATGAGTAACAAAGCTTATATATGTTTAAATTGAGCTGCAAATCATTAAAAACAAAGCTGGGAATGCTACGCCCGCGTTGCGAGCACGCGACAGACAGAGCGTCACCGCAGCGCGGTGCCGCCACAGACCCAGTTCGCGTTTAAGATGGCGGCAGTCGACGATGGTGGGATAGTATAGATAAGACGTTTGCTTTGTAATCTTGCACCGATTATTTTCGAAAATTGCAGATTTCGTTAAATAAAATTAATTCTATTACAAATAAATGCATGGCTACTTGTGTACTGTTGGAAGCCGGATGTGGTAACTTATTTATTTTTATTACGTACCTAATAATTAATTTCTGTAGCTGTTCCATTGTATACTGTAATACATATATTGTTTTTATACACTAAATGTTGTGCAAGTTTGTGCAAAATAAAATTAAGTTGTTTTTTATAAAAAAGGTATTAAAATATTAATATGCATTTTTCATTAAAAACGTTCATTACCTGTAAATTTTTGTCTTGTTTTTGTTTATGATAAAACTTTCCATCTATATTGTATCCAGTGTTTTTTTTTTTTTATATAGCCAATATTCTGATGTTTTCCAAGTGACTGTAAATAATGTGATAAATAACTTATTAGATTTTAAATATATCACCTTAATAATGCACTTTCAGCATTAAACCCCTACCTACCTATATACTTTATATACTTATCTGCTAAAGTTGACTAATAGATAATGTTTTTAGCATTATGTCCACCTTACACATTTGTTTTTAGGTAATCTTATAAAAAAGTATGTTCTAAAATTATTTATATATTAAAATTAAAACGTGAAGTGATACGTCACTTTATGTCTTATCCATATTAAACTAGCATGTTTATGCCCAATATGTCTCAAATTTCTCTGTTTTTACTTGAATTTATTATCAAATTTTAGTTCGAAGCATACTTGTAATTATATAAAATAGGATCCATAGATCTTTCGAGAACTCAAAATATCAACTGTTATTACAATATTCATATAAACTTGGCAAGAAAATAGATTTTTCGGAAGTACTGTTTTAAAGGTCATATTTTAGTGTCATTTTTGTTTTTTTTTATGAAAAATCTATAAAACTAAACGTTCGGCTCGCTATTTTATTGTGTAGTAGATGAACTTAAGTTACTATAAATAAAAAGTCTTTGTTCTACTTGTTATCGTTACTGAGAACCGAGATCTGAATATAGGGCCACTTGACGCGCGTTTCAAGTGGATGCCTTGTAGGTAGGTACCAAAGAATCTTGTTATACAAAAACTATTTCTATGATCGTGTACAAATATTTTGCTTGTATTGTTATTTATATATGGGCAGGATTAAATAACAATAAAAATACATAGAACTCATTGCGTTGTTTTTATTTAATTCCAAATTATAATTCCAATTTTTTAGAACCAATTTTTCCATAGTTATTTTCTATTGTTATTAACTCTTCAGAGCAGTTGTAATTAATAATGCTACTAGATAATTGTTTCTAGATTCCGAATATTATTAGTTTAAGCTTATTTTAACGGTCTTATTGGAAAAAAACACATTCTAATAAGAATCGACACGCTCCGCGACCCTGTCTGTGACGTGCTCGCGACGCGGTGCCAACAGAAGTGCATTTTTGGTTTGTGGTTTGCACAGAACACTTGTGGTCAGTGCTGCCAACTCTAGAAAATAAATTTCTGCTAAATAGGCTTTAAAAAAAAGCCAAAAATATGCCAAATATTTTCGAAAATACTTAAAAAATGCTTTTATTAGAGAAACAGAATATTTATTAAAAATCTTTATAAAGAAGCATTTATAAATAAATTGCGAAGACCCTCGTCGGTGAGCCATTGATGTAGCCGGTAGGTATGAAGCAGATGACGTAGATGCATGAGCATTACATTAGTCCCTATTTTTCGCAAAATCTGATCAGGGACCTCATCGATTCTCCTCACCAAAAACTCATTATATTCAAGCGGGATTTATCTAACCAAAGACTACTCTATGACTATAAATCTACGAACACTCTTAAGTTGTGTTCAGACAAATATAGCATATTTTTTAAGAAAAAATGAAAAATACCTTTAGTTATTTTACTCTCAGTAAAATGCTAAAAAATATGCTATATGCTAAACTGAATTTAATTATGCCAAAACACTAGAAAACATGCTAAATTTAGCCATAAAAATGCTAAATTGGCAGCACTGCTTGTGGTTTGTGTTTTAATTAGTCTTTTTTTTTAATAATAGTCAACCGATATATATCGATACATCGACCCCCAAAAATATCGACATCGAAAAAAACAATATTCTTCTTCTTCTAAGTCGTTTCACTCTAGTGACATAGTGGTCCTTTCTCGTCAATCAGAAACAGTTTGAGTGGCAAGTTCTATTATACGCCGCCATTCTTGTCAGATCGCAATTTTCCTGGTACACTCATGGATAGAACAGTTTGTTGCCGCCTTTATTTGGTCTGTCTATCTCTACCGCGTGCTACCCTCTACCTATACCTGTATTACTAGGCGTTCCACGGAGTCATTGTTGCGTCGTGATACATGGCCAAAGAAACTGCACTATAGAAGACAGGCGCTGTCGAATGCCGAGTTCGTTCATTATAGATGCTTTGGTACGGAACTCCGTCCATAACAGCCCAAGCATCCTTTTCCAGCATCACATCTCTAGAGCGTTTATTTTCTTCTTCTCTCTCTTATTAGAGAGTATACTAGCTTGATCTTAGTGGCTTTAGTAATGTGCTTCTTTTCCCATATCTTTCTCAACTTGTCCATTGCAGACTTTTTTTTTATACCGAGGGGAAGTGACCTTAACATGCCGTCAACTTGGACGAAAAGCCGACCCGGTGAACCCGGGCTCTCCTGCTGCAGAGGGTTAAAGAACCCCCTATCTACAGCAGGTACTCTACTTGCGCATAGTCCGGTACCTGGTATCTTAAAATAAGTCTCAGGTAGATCCAGACCGTGGGGGACACCCAGTGGTGTCACTCCCTCTCTGCGGGCGGGAGGTTTCCCAGGTGGTTACAAGGAACTTTTCCTAGACAACTGGAGGTGGTGCAATGACCGTGGGGGTCATGCTCCACAGGCGCCTCCGAAGGAAGGCCGGATGTGCTTTTGTGCAATCCGGACCCTTTATATCGTCCTACTAAATTCTGACAGATCGCTCTTCGGTCTTCCAATGGCTTCCTCTTCGGGCAACCCCGGCACCCCTCTGGCGCCCTTCGAGCGAAAAGTCAGAACATTCGCGCTGCCATGGTGTCGACCGCTGGTCGACGTGGCTCCTCCCCCCAACGACTAAATGCGCCGCAGCCGATTCCATCCCTTCGTCGCTGCCCATGAGAGACAAATGCCTGCCATAGCGTATGGACCCATTCACTTGGCCATGTTCCTGATTGCCATTTTTGATTACACTGGGTGTTAATATTTGGACTCCGTGTTCTCCAGCAGCTTTGATGACATCTAATGGGACGGCGTCGATGCCAGTAGCTTTTCCATTTTTCAAGTGCTTGATTGCGACTCGAACTTCTTCCTTCAGAATATTTGGTTCTAAATACTCTTCAGCTGTTTCAGTAGAGGCTTCAGCTAAAATAGAGTTTGATAATAATCCTTCCACCTGACAGATATTTGTTCTATTTCAGTAAGTTAATCGCCGCTCTCATTTTCAATGGCCCAAGTTTTTGATGAGAGGGTTTTTGCCAGGTAAAGTATTTTTCGCAGAGAGTCTATTTAGTGTTTTGTTGTTAGCGCATTTGTTGTATTTGTTCTTACGTCTTTGCTCAACTAGAGCTAGAGTGCTGTCGCTCATCCACGATTGACGTTTTCGTCACTTACCAGTGAAACGAAAACGTTACTTACCAAATCGTCACTTACGAAAGCGTCACTAACCAGTGACAACGATTGACGTTTTCGTGTTGTTACGAGAGTCTTGCACAGCAATGACGATTAGCGTTTTTGCTCTGATCAACAGTTAATCTGAGGTATCATCAGTCCCAACTCTTCTCAATTGCAGCTATAAAATGAAGGCTGATCTTCATTTCAAGTCTGACCCGTTTTTCTAGTTTCCTAGCTGCTTTCAGTTTAAGCTGCACCTTTGAGACCAGCAGTTGATGATCTGATCCGCAGTCTGCTCCTGGGTGCATATAAGCATTTTTGATAGATTTCCCATCTTGATCTCACCAGAATATAATCCATATGATTTTTGTATTTACCATCAGGCGATGTGCAAGTATAAATCGTGCGGGGGTGATATTGGAAGAAGCGGTTTGAAATCATCAAGTTGTTATCAATTGCGAATTGTATGAGCCGTTCACCTCTCTCGTTGCGTTGACCCAACCCGAATCGACCTACTACGTGACTCAGTTGTTGAGCATTTTCTCCGATTTTTGCTTTAAAGTCTCCTATTAACATCAGAATTTCTCTGAATAGAAGGTCTTTATGACATCATCGCTAGCCGCACTTGTGAGTGCATAAACTTGTA